TGTAACAGTTGGAGTTTTCATCTTGATCAATCATCCCTCAAAGCACCTGTAGGACACATGTTCAATACCCACCTCAAACATCAATCCATCACACTTGCAATGATTCCCAGAACAATTCTCTTTGTAATTTTCATGGCCTTCATCCCAGAATACATTCTGGGTGATGTAGGCTGTATGGGAATAGTGGAGGGCAAGCTTTGTGGAAGAAATGCTCACCAGATTCCATTACCAGGAGCTGATCAATTTGGGGATTGTGGGGACCCCAGGACCGGCTGTAAAATACAACGCACAAAAAACTACTACAAATGTGGTGGTTGCCAGTCCATAACCGTCAAAAACTATAAAGCAAGAGGCAAATATGAAGGATGTGGTCATGAAAATAAGAAGTTATACATTCAAGGGACATTGGGGAATCATGAATATGCACCTGAATCAGTGCCACCATCTCAAGGGACGTCTGAATCAGCCTACTATCAAGAAGCTACACCCTCAACAGCCCGTGATGACATTCAGTACTTTGAGTTCTTCAGGTGATAATCAACTACCACCAGCATAAATCCATTAGCCTTAAAGCCGCACAACAATATCTTTTGGATTTTGAACCAAAAAATCATCATGAATCGTAGAACAGCTCACGGATGCAGACTTACAAGTGAAAGCCTTGCTGCAATTATTTCTACCTGATGGGTGGGCAAATTTTAGGTCCAGTGCAAACCATTGAACTACAGAGACTTTGTATCTGGTTTTGATTTTGAAATTATTATCTTCTGTGTGAGCCAGCTCAGACCTTCTCACCCAGCTCTGGCTGCCCTTGTGTTCCAAACTGAAGATAATGGCACCATTTTCTTTGGTTTGGAACCAAAGAATTTGGTTGACACAGGTGAAATTTTATGGGGATCAAATATGCAATAATTTCTCTAAATACTTTGGTGCTATGGTCAGGTTGTCTCTGAATAGTAGTGGGCTGACAGCTTTGCAGAAAATTTTTGGTTTGAGAAAGCTGAAATATACCAGAGATGACCTTGGGGTACCCGTTTGGTGGTACCCGGCACCTGCCGGCGGGTACCCACTGATTTGGTGCTGGGTGCGGTACTTGGTGCCTGCTTTCGGGCAAAAAAGCCAATAGCTTGGTTCTTGATTGGTGTGCAGAAATAACGTGCAACCTGCCTCTCAAGAGCCCCAAGGTTCACAGAGAACCATACCAATTTGGGAATTGGTAAGGTTCTCTGCTCACGTAAGGGAGGCCCTCTCTCAATAATCAATAAAGCTCTCTCTCCTTTTGTTGGCAGATTGCTTACGTGAGAAAAAAATCCTGGGATGTTTTGCTCACAAAATCAAGCTTCCCCTTTAGCTTCCTCCCCCTTCTGTTTTTTTTTTCTTTAGGAAGCAGAAGGGGCAGCTTGCTTAGGTGAGCAAAACATCCTAGGATATTTTGCTCACATGAGCAAGCTGCCTACAAAGTTTTCTTTCCTCCAGGGGAGGAGAGAGATCCTCCCTTATGTGAAAAAAAAAACATCCTAGGATGTTTGCT